AAGTGTTTTCAGAAGCCACTCCAACTATGAATGTCTCCGTCTGAAGCCCAAGCTGCTGAAGACAAGCCGGCTGCATCAGCCAATGACGAACATCAAGAAGAACGTGTCCCCACTCCCCCCATAACTGAAGAAGTTGTTCCTGACGTGAACGTGTCTGTGCCAGACCCTCCAGCTCATCAAGTGGAGGTTGAAAATGTTGAGGCTGTCACCACTAACACGAATGAAGCCAATGACGTAGTCATGGCTGAAGCTTATGTGGAGCCTACACCAAGCAACATACCAGAAGTCAATGTTGCAACTGCTCCTGAAGCTTCTGTTATGCAGCCTGAAGCCACTATTGCTGCCACTGCTCCTGTTCCGCCACCAAGGCCCTATACAATTGAGCAAGCTTACAAACATGGCGAGCTAATTACAGTAAGATGGCCTGTACTGGTCCCTCCGCCTAATGTCTCTGGTCCTCAGTTTGACTATCACATTGAGCATAGGCCTCAGGTCCAGAAACCAAAGCCACGACCGCCAAGGTTTCCAGGTACTGCCACATCTGTCGGGTCCTTCAATGCAAATGGCTTCAAAAACCACAACACCTTGTTTGACAGCTCCAAGAACCCCTACACAAGGCCAAGAATATCATCTGATCGGTTCTGGAGTCATCAGCAACGAAGCTATTACTCCTGTGTTCTGTATGATCAAGGGCTCATTTTCCCTCATATGCGCCTTGACACTGAAGCCATTGCTGGACTGCCATGCGTAGAAGAAGCACTTGACTGCTTTCGTGATGCTGGTCTACTCAGCTTTGTGACAGACAAAGAACATTGGAATGAAGAACTATTGCTTCAATTCTATGCTACCCTCCACATTCGCGGCTACAACAGAGATACAAAGACATGGGTTCTCGAGTGGATGACAAGAAATGTTCATCATGAAGCCAAAGTTCTTGACATCATTGAGCTTACAGGCCTATCCACTCCCGAAGAACTGTATGAACCTGGTTGTCAAAACCACCGCAATGCACTAGAGAGCATCTTCCATAAGCCAGAACCAAACATGAGCCAGATGTTGAGCATGATGAAGCCATTGCCACATGACGCTGAATACCCAAAGGAGTTCTTTGTTGATGACCTTAAGTATCTATCGTGCACCATATATCACATCATCAGGCGGACTCTATGGCCGATCAAAGGACATTCATCAGGTGCAAAACTTGAAGGAGCCATGAAGACATCGGTCTTTTACATCCTCAATGGCATCAGCTTCAATGCACAAGATTTCTTTCTACGTCAACTGGCTGCATCTGGATCTGATCTGTTTGGCCTGAAATTTTATGCTCCATGGGCCATGCGCCTCATCAAGCTACACTCTACTGTCAACTATCAGCCCTCTGCTCGCAATCATGTGATCTTTCTACCAGAGGTTGATATGTCAGTTGAAGCCATATACCCTGAGCCTGCCAAGAAGCCTCTTTGTCTTCAAAATGCTGAACACCAAAGCTTCACTCAGCCTATGGAAGGAGTCCAAGCTGTAACTTGTGTCTATCCAATGGCTGGAAACACTCGTCTGCCTCATCGTGCGCCAAGTGAAGCTACTGAGAGCACAATTTCTCAAAGGCCTAGGAAGCGCTCCCGTGTCCTAAATGACCGAGAACTTCTTGTGGCACTGCATCAGAAACAAGATAAGCATCACTTTTGGCTCAAGCGTCAAATGCAAAGCCTCTTGGTGGACGTAAATCGCATTCGAAATCTTGCCACCAAGAATGCATTTGTCACTCACGAAACTTGTCGGCGATCATGGAAGAGTTTGACCCTCCTCAGTGCTGAAGCAGGTCTTCAAGATGATGGCTTCACTGAAAGATTCAAGTTTGACTCCACTCCTCCACGGAATGCTGTCCTACGAAGAACTCCATCTCTTGAAGACTCTGACTATTCTTCCTCTGCGGCAACTGTGAATGCCAATGTGATCAATGATGAAGACGATGCTACTTCATCGCCCCCTACTTCTGCACGCATCAACACTGCACCAAGTTCGTCTGCACCGCCAAACAACAACGACAACCCTACTGCTTCACCTACTCCTCATGAGGACGAGTAGATGCTCTATGTCTTCAAACCTTTTTGGTCATTACTGACAAAAGGGGGAGAAGCATATGAGTTTCATAGTCTTCAAGCGGGTTCATATGGGCGGGTGCTTGTATTTTGCCTAGTGTTTACAACTCTTGCTTTTGATACATTTCGTTCTTTGAGTTGTAACACTTAAACTCGATGGTCGTCTGCTACTTATTTGCTCTTTCATGTACGATGATAACTTCCGCACTTAGATCATTCCACACTTAGATCATTCTGCAGACGTCCATTTTCCATTATGCATGTCATTTTTAAGTTATATCATTTCATGCATGATGAATTATCTTCATAAGTTGAAGAGGATCTCCAAAAGTACAACCTGCCATGTGCATTTGCACTCCAAAAGCAAATTACTTATATGCACATCTTTAGGGGGAGCCCTTGCCACTTATGAAGACAATACCCTATCCTTTACAATTTCACATACTTCCTTTCCGTTGAAAACTTCAACCAGTTTGTCATCAATCACCAAAAAGGGGGAGATTGTAAGTGCATCTAGTGCCACCCCTAGTTGGTTTTGGAGTATTGATGACAAAGTTGGTTGAGGGACTAATGCGTTTGTGAGAATTGCAGGATAACGCAGGTAGTGTCCCTCATTGATTCGGTTTACCTACCAGAGATGACCCCTAAAAATGTATGAAGACATTGAAGACAATGGTGGTGTGTGAAGATACTCACATTGAAGACTATGACATGAGAAGACATCGAGTGAAGACTATGGAGCGCGAAGAATGAGTTGTTTCGTTGTTTCCTTCTCTTCTTTGTTGAGTCATAGGAACCACCGTACTGTTAAGTGGGGTCCAAGTGAACAAAGTCAGAGTGACTGAAGTGATGCTCAACCCAAATCCTATGTTTTCGAGCGAAGACAATGAGAGCAAATCTTATCCAGAGTTGGATGAGTCAGCTTTGCTTGTAGCCCAAGTAAAGTTGTCGTGTGTGTTTGAAATCTGACCGTTGGAACACGTGTCAGTTCCTTAGTGACCCAGGGTCATTTCGGACATATCAGGTCGGGTTGCCTTGTGGCTATAAATAGCCCACCCCCTACACCATAAATTGGTGGCTGCTCAGAGTTAGTTTACGGCTTTTGTCGTTTTTAGAGCAACCCACCTCGAAGCCTTTGAGAGAGAAATCCTTGCGAGGACAAAGCCCAAACACCCAGTGCCAAAGAGTGTTAGGCATCACTGAAGTCTTTCTGTCTGTGTGACCTGAACACTTATTACACCTGAGGACTGTGTATCCTCCTACCGGTTAGGCGTCGCGTTCTGAGCATCCAAGAGTCATTGTGGATTGCTGGTGAACGAAGTCTGTGAAGGTTCGGAAGTCTACCTTGAAGACTTACCAGAGTGATTGGGCGAGGACTGTGTGTCCTTAGCTCAAGGGGAATAAGGTGAAGACGTGGTCTTCTGAGTTGAATCTCAGCCTCCCTAACCAGACGTACAGTTGTCACAGCAACTGGAACTGGTCCAACAAATCCTGTGTCTTCAACAAGTGACTGGTTCTATCCCTCCCTCCTTTACTTTGAGTTTGTCTTCGTGAAGTCATTGCTTATTTGTTTTATCTGTTTGACTTCATAGCTTGACTACTATCGTTGATTGGCTTCATACTATCTTCCATCCTGATCCTTACTACCTAGCTGCTATTAGTCTTTGTACGTTCAGTATTGCATACTTGACTATGGCTTGCTTGTTGTAGTTTATCTTCCGCTGCATATCAATTAGGTCATTTCTATTGTCTGTCTTCGAAACTTCCACGTTTTTAAGACTTTGATAAAAATCGCCTATTCACCCCCCCTCTAGTCGATAACTAGCACTTTCACCCATATACACAAGCAATATAATCAAGTCGGACGTAGGGTATTACCTCTTAGAGAGAGCCCGAAACTGGGTAAATATCATGTCGCACGTTCCTTGTTCCCCATCGATCCAAGATCCACATTCGGGACCCCCTACCCGAGATCCGCCGGTTTTGACACCGATATCTGGTACCTCGGTTTATATAGACACCAGGGTGCCTAGGGTTTACAAATAAGCCGGTTGAATCTGGGGGTAAATATGTCTTGGACTACCTAAAGATCTTGTACTATACACAAAGTCTTCGGATCATTCCTTTCTGTCATTCTTGGACCATACGAACGAGGCCCACCAGATGATGGGTTTAGGGGCTCCTCGGCCCAGCCCAAAGGACCAGTGCCCGATGTGCTGAGCAATGAGCACCCCCTAATCCAGGAGCGATCCGTCATTATTATTTTTCCTTTGGTGGATGTTGTGGTGGTACCAGAGGCATGTGACATGCATTGGTGTCAAGCTCAAAGATTTTTTTTTCTTAATTGCAATTTCTTTTCTTTCTGGCCGATGTTTCTTTGTGTAAAGGCTAACGTTCTACTGTCTTTTCAGTTTTGTCATATCAATGTTACATGACTTCTACTACTATTATGATCTTTATATGAGACACTTAGGCCTTCCACTATGTAGGCCAAAAGAGATGCCAAATTTATTTTTGCGCAATTTGGCACCGATGCCCTCCATAGCCCATGCGGTGCTATAAAAAATATTGTGGGAACCGGTGCAAGTGCTGGCACCGATGCCCACTTCCTGCATGACAATAAAATACATTAAACTGTGCACCGATGCCCACTTCCAGCGCAAAGGATCGAGGGGGAGGTTGGCTTGCTCGATTTCTTTATGTATGTGCGGATCCCGCTTTTCTACGGGCTGCAACCCAACGGTGTGAGGGCGGTGCCAAATTTTCTCCTGAGGGCATCGATGCCCAATCTACCATATTTTAATGCACCAGGCACAGGTCACATAGTGGAGGGCCTTATTACCATATTACCATGGAAAAAAGATAACAGCAGGTTCAGCGTAACAATTCAGTAGTACTGATTCACAAACTACCGCCATCTACAGTTGGCGCGCCGCCAAAATACGGCATGCCCCTCTGCCGCAGCTGCAAAGCCTCCTCCACCGTCGCCGCCCTCGCGTCGAACGCCCCCGTGTCACCGTCCTCCACCGGCAGGCCCTGTTTGAGCCGCCCGAGCCTGCGGGCGTGCAGCACCTGCGCCGCCACGACCGGCAGCCGCGCGGCCTCGTACTCGTCCAGAGCGCGTGGCGGCGGCGTCTCCCCCCACCTCCCGAGGCACTCCCCGAGCACGCGGGCGTCATGGACGGACATGTTGGTGCTCCGCAGCCCGTGCGGCGTGGTCGGGTGCGCCGCGTCGCCGACCAGTGCCACGCTGCCGCCCGCCCACGACAGCCGCGGCAGCGGGTCCGCGTCGTAGATCACGTTCACGAACGGTTCTGCCGTTTCCCTGATCAGCCGCGCCAGCTCCGGCGACCAGACGCGCTCGGCGTCCTCCTGCATCCCTGCCAGCGTGGCGTCGCTCACCTTCATCGTCACCGAGCTCCCCTGTTAATGAGTCACAGCCCGACCGATCACCCAGTCCGTCAGAGAAACACGTCATCACGGTTTAGCAACTGGACAAGCAGACAAGGGATCGCCATTACCGTGAGCTCTGGCTCTGGGCCGTTGATGTACCAGAGCCAGTTCAGTCTGTTCCCGGGCAACTCGTAGAGCACGGCGTGAGTCTTTTCGGCCAGATCGAAGTACAGGCAGCTGCCGAGCTCTGGGTACGCTCTTCGTATGCCGGTGATGATGTCGGAGCTTTCCTTCCCGGTGAAATCGAACACGCCACGCCATGCGCAGTACCCGGAGTACCTGCACATTGGCCGCAAGAACAAGAAATGGTGTCGTCCGTGATGAACTAATGTCCTAAAAGCGAGCTGATCAACTACTGAAAATATTCGATGTAATGTTCATATGTGAAATTGTTTGTTGCCTCCTAAATTGTTGTCTGGCCATAAGCGTCAAACAGATTTATAACTCACCTGAGCTTGAGGTCAGGGAGGAAGCGCCGGCGGATCGACGAAGTGCAGCCATCCGCTGCGACCAGCAAATCCCCAGCGACCTCCACCGTTTCACCGGTTCTGAGCACGCGAGCCGTCGCGACTACCCCGCCGCGTTTGCCACCATCGCCGTCCGTGTCCGAAACCTCGAACGAAAGGAACTGGTGGCCCCAGTGCACGGTCACCGCGGCCGGCGGAGCCTCGTGAAGCCGCCGGTGCAGCTCGCCCCAGTGCGCCGCGCGGAAGTTGAACCCCTCGTCCCTCGTCAGCGTCCGCGCCGCCTTCGTCTCGCTGTCCGTTGCCATGTTCTGCGGCAGCAGCAGGGGTACTCAACCTATGCCCACAAGGAAAACAAGGAAGAAGCCAAGCTGCGATAATAAAAAAAGCCAAGCTTGCGATTTACCGGGGAGGACGGACGGGCTTACCAGGTCGACGGCGAGCGGCAGCGTGGCCGCGTCGAGACCCCACCCGGGGATCCAGCGGGCGAGGGTCTCCATAGACTGCGCATCCAGGCCCAGCCCGGCGCCCGTGCCGCCTCCGGCCGCCGGGCCCGCCGCCTTCTCCAACACCACCGCCTTCCACCCCGCCCCCGCCGCCGCGTGCGCGCAGGCCAAGCCCGCTACGCTCCCTCCCACCACGACGGCCACCCGCTCACCCATCTCAGGAGCCATCGTTTCTCCCAACTCCGCGGGGGCTTCTTATCGCTCACTGCTATCTGTGCACGGCACCTGGCTACTAAAAGTCTTCCATCTTGGCCGGCCCGCGCGCGCCTCCACGCGTCCCGCGTCGCCGCCACACGCCCAGGATGGCGACGGCGCGCCACCGCGGCATGCCGCTGCGCGAATGCAACCTGCTCATCAGGACCCTCGCGAGGCGCAGCAGCTACGCCGATGTCATGGCGGTCTACTACGACCTCCGCGGGCGCGGCCTCGTGGCCGACAGCTTCACCTACCCGTTCGTGCTCAGGGCCATCGGTGCCCTCAAGCTACCGGTCGAGGGGCGCAAGGCGCACGCTGCGGCCCTGAAGACCGGTTTCCGGTGGGATGCCTACACCGCGAGCTCGCTCATGGACATGTACACGATGGTGGACCGCCCTGAAGTCGCGCGGAAGGTGTTCGATGAAATGCCGCAGAGGGCGCTGGTCGTGTGGAATATGATGATCAGGTGCTATGTCAGACGTGGCCGAAACAGAGAAGCGGTTGCTTTGGCTGAGGAGATGGAGAAGGGCGGTCTCACACCCGATAGGGTGACGTTGCTGACCGCACTCACCGCGTGCTCCAGAGCCGGTGATCTGAGCTTAGGAAGGAGAATTCATGCCTACATGGATGGAGTCACTGGGTTCAGCCTCCCAGTTGCGAATGCACTGCTGGACATGTACATGAAGAATGGCTGCTTGGAAGAGGCGGTGAAGCTGTTTGAAAAAATGCCGTCGAGGAACATCATTTCGTGGACTATACTTGTGTCGGGATATGCCTTTGCCGGACAAGTGGAGAAGGCGAGAGTACTCTTCCACCAGTGCACAGAGAAGGATCTAATTATGTGGACTTCTATGATCAACGCGTATGCACAACATGGATGCTTCGTGGAGGCATTGTCGTTGTTTCGAGACATGCAGATGCATCAAGTTGTGCCAGACAGGTTCACTGTTGTCACTCTCCTGACATGCTGTGCCAATCTTGGCGCGCTTGATCAAGGTGAATGGATCCACCAGTTTGCTCAAGGTAAGAAGATGAAGCCTGATGCAGTTCTTGGCACTGCGTTGATTGACATGTATGCCAAGTGTGGGCATGTAGAGAAGGCAGTGGAGGTCTTTGAACGAATGGAAGGCAGAGACACTACGGCCTGGACTGCCATTATCTGCGGCCTGGCCACAAATGGTCAGGCAGGTAGAGCCCTCGAATTGTTTGAGGATATGGAGAGAAGCAATGCTAAGCCTGACAGCGTTACCTTCATTGGGGTGCTGAGTGCATGTTGCCATGGTGGCTTGGTTGATGAAGGGCGGAAACAGTTTCGTGCCATGAAGGAGGTTTATCAGATACGACCAAGAGTTGAACATTATAGTTGCCTTGTCAATCTTTTAGGTCGTGCTGGTCAACTTGATGAAGCTGAGAAGTTGATTAACAATATACCAATTAACAAGGACGCTATGCCACTGTTTGGTGCACTCCTCACTGCTTGCAAGGTTCAAGGCAATGTCGAGATGAGTGAAAGGCTGACCAAACGAATAGGCAAGCAAGGCTACCAAATTCCTGATGTGGATTTGCTCATGTCTAATGTGTATGCAACTGCAAGTCGATGGGAGGACGCAGTAAGAGTAAGGAGCAAGATGGCACACCCCAGTGTCAAGAAAAATGCAGGGTGCAGCTTGATCGAGGTGAAGGGATTCTGAAAATGGCAGTTGGCACTTGGACATCTAGTGCTTCAACATAGGAATAGCTAAAACATCCATTAGTCTGAGTAATTTTTCCTTGTGATCCGTTGGTCTGAGTTCATCGCATTGATATTACCAGAAATATTATGATCAGTTTAGCTGTGGTGACTCAGTTCGTTAACAATTAAAAAGGTGCTCAAAATTCCACCTGGTTTTTGCCTCCTAAAGACCTCTGGACTAAAACTTTCAGAACAGAGGTATTCAGACCTCTGGAAACGATCACTACTTACTTTCAGGAACTGACACAGGTATGGTCCACAGTTTACTTAGTGGAGCTGGTTTCTTCCTATTGATTCGTTTGCGAGCCACCTCTTCTATCTGTTAGTATTAATTTGTTTGAACTTTTTTCAGCGATACTTGTCAAATTATTGTTTATTAACTCCAACAATGAAACGATATACATTTCTGGAAACGAAGAAATGCAGGTTAGTTACCAAGCCATTAGTATCTTTCACCTATTTTCTGTTGCAGGTGAATATACCTATGGGCTAATATGTGCCTTGACACGAGTGATAATGTATCAAATTCTAGTGTCGCCATTTGTAATCTTATGATGAGACAGTATGACATTGGTCGTTTAATCGACTAGCTGCTGATAGATTTCAGCCTGAACTGACCAGCATTATCTTCAGCAGGTTGTTCAGGAGATCACATAAGTTGCCTGCCTCCCAACATCTTAAAACTATCTCTTGTAAGTTCATCCGCGAGTTACAGAATGCTAGTTCAGGTTGTTCAGCAGGTTATTAAGAATTATGTTTACCATACGAGGCAAAATTCAAGGCTTGTAGCTGGTGATGATATATCAGCTTCTGGTTGTATTTGCATTTTGGTTGCTTTGTTCATTTCATAATTTTGGTAGTACTTATGTGGAAGAAAATCAGAATGACACACTATAAACTGATAAGTTTTCTTTTTCATGAAGGTAACCTGCTACTACTGCTTATTAACTTCATTTTGTATGGATATTTCAATGACAGGTACTCCCTCCGGTCCGGTGTGTTAGAGCAAGTACAGTAAGCTTATATAAGCAGGCTATAAGATTTAAAATATTACTTCCTCCGTTCCTAAATATAAATCTTTGTATAGTTTTCAATATGGACTACATACGGAGCATCTATATACATCCGTATGTGGTTCATAGTGGAATCTCTACAATGACTTATATTTAGGAACGGAGGGAGTATTTTTTTGCTGACATGGAGGAAAGAGAAGAGGAGCCGGCTACAGAATAAGAGCCGGTTGTAGCATGTGCTCCTAGGCACTATGTGAGAGTGAAAAGTGGGCCATGTATTAATAAAGTAGCATATTTTTATATCTAATTATTATACTTACCGTCTATAAGCTTGGCTATAAATGACATGGCAACATCATATAGCCATCAGCTGTACTAGCAATATCTATTTGTTCAAATAAGGCCTATTAGCATTTAATTGGCCTAATTAATTCTGTGAGCTGGCCCTTTCTCTCCCCAATATTAACTCCTAGCTGCACACATCCCCTCTCTCGTTATTGTGCATGCAACGGTTTGACCAATGCATGCACGTTTTCTTTTCTTTTTTGAACTTGATGTATGCATGTCTAATTAATTTAAGGGCCTGATTGGAGGAAACAATGCCCAATCCTCTTCTACCTTGGTCATGGTGCTTGAGCTATGAGCCCTACACACCGGACCAGAGGGAGTAACTTTCATTATGACACAAATAAAGAAAGTCATGAAGTAGTGCAAGCTCAATCTTACATCTATACTTGTTGGTTATGCTCTACTCCCTCCGTCCCAAAATAAGTGTCTCAGATTTGTACTAACTTTAGTAAAAATTTGTATTAAGGTTGAGACACTTATTTTGGGACGGAGAGAGTATGAAGATGTTTAGTTTTGTTGTCAAGGGAAAGCATCAGAGCAATTATATCAGATGCACTGGTCAGAAGCATCCAAGTCTGCTGGTGAATTACATTACTGCTCAGGAACTGGATAACATCTGGCCCAAGCAAGAACTACTATTATACATGCTTTCACAGTACTTTACAGAGGTAGTCGAGAGATTGTTCAGGGTCCAAAATGCAGAAATGATCTTCTTCTCTTCCTTTCCGGGAGAAAGCTAACCTAACATCTACTGCTAAATTCTACAGTGTTAGGCACATAACTGTGAGTAGTTAAAACTAGCCCCTTTGTCAACAGTAGAACATCACCCTCTTCACCTTCTCTTTCACAGCGGGCAAAGGCTTCACGGAGGTACCATTCGTGCCACTGGAGCTCTTCGACGTGTGGTTCTCCGACAGCTCCGGCTCCATGTAGAACCGCGCCCGGAACGCGGCCAGATGCGCGTAATATGCAGGTGGGACTGTTGGAGCAGCAAAGACAAAGACACCACGGATCAGATTTGTGACATAGGTATGTGAACTCACGATGTTTGTAAATAAACAAAGCTGGAGAATGTTTCAGCTAGTACAGAAGAACATACCGACGGAAACAGAGCGCGTGCACCGTGCGTAACTGCAAAATCAGCATAAAATTTTCAGATCAGACAGTTCTTAGAAGATCCAAGTGTGAAGAGCAAGAGACAAAACATAGGCATGCCGTACGTGTAGCAAAGGTTGTTTGTCAACGTCTGCATTTCGTCTGCTGAGAAGTTGTTCTCATCCCAGAGGACATGGTAGTGAGCTGGCCTACTTGTTCCCTGGTGAGAGAACTCACACATCAGTCATTTCGTCAATCACAAGAGGGTGGAGAATCTGGGGTAAATATTCCCATACTTCTAGTACAGCACTTTTGCAGGTACAGTACAAGCTTTTCCCAAAAGAAGTGGAAGTTTTATGTGTTTGTACATTCACATGGTCTAAATTTTTGGCATACTATCAGTTAGTTTATTCTTTTTACCATGTCTCCTCTGCTAGGTGCCTAAGCGCAGTGAGAGCTTTGTTGAAAAGAGAATACCAAGTCTATTCAAATGCTTGACCACAAAGGCACGGGACCAGAGCAACGACAAATTCAGTGTATGTCAGCCTTCAGCAAGGACCAGTACAATATTCTTACCTGGATTCCAGCGTGACTACAGAGGTAGAAATCAAACTCCGTTGGGTGGCATATCTTCGAATCAACAACAGTTCCTGTAATTTTTCCCAAGCAATTAGTCATTGTATTACCAAGACAATGGAAATACATATTACATACAGACATACAATATCTTATACACACAAAACAAAAATAGTGTCCTACAATGAGCACGCCCAAATTTCCTTTCT